TCTGCTCGACGACATCACACATGGCCATGAGATCTTCAAGGCCCTTCTCCAACACGGTGTATACACTGACACCATCTAGTGAAGTGTTAGTTGCAAGATTAACGTAGCTTCGCATGCAAGACCTACCGTATGTCTGGATGCGCAAGTTCATCTTGGCTTCTGAGGGATGCGGAATGGAGTAACCACAGAACTCGACATCAGGGCTATGGAACCATTAGCCGTTTCTCCATCTATGCGCTGAGAGGGTTGTCTTACTTTTTGTGGATGATGTATCTGAGCGCGTTGCCTAGCGTGTGGTCCTCGCCATCAAACTGGAAAGATGCTGCCGTCTCCGTTGCGCCGGACAGCTATGACAAATTAGATACGCGTTTTTCTATCATTCAGATTTTACGTACGACTCTGATCCTGTCGCGATCGATCGCCGGATCAATCTCCTCATTGTTCTCGGAGGTAGGGTCCAAGATTGGGACCTGCGTGGGTTCTTCTGTTGCGCCTGGCATTTTGATCTTGTTCCTTGCTCTTAATGACTAGCCGTTGTCGGTTGAGATATAACGCGTTTAAATGACTGTGTCTGAATGACGATCCTGTGTTCGAGACGTGACTTCGCGATATCAAAATTTTGGGGCGGACTTTGGTTCGGCGTTTCGTTGGTTGGCCAGACTTTTCCAGCCCTATATTGCTTGGCGCCATGACGTGGGGCGTGGGGAAGCCCCTCTGCATCCGCTTCAACTTTTTGTCCCTCAACTTTGCCATCCACCATTGACCGCTCTGCCAGCTCCCAACACCCCCGAAGCCAGCCGAGATCAATATTACGCACACGACCGCCACCATGCCGCGCGCCTGCTGCCTCAACCGCGATACGAATGAGACGAAGATCCAGGTCTCGATAAACATCGATGGCGGCGACCTCTCACCCTACGAGCACAGCGACTTCTGGGCGGCCTACGACAAGAAGAGTCTCAATGGCGACGGCGAGAAGGTAGACAAGGACCATGCTACCCAGAAGTCGACGTCCCAGGAGATCTCCGTTGACACCGGTATCGGCTTCCTCGACCACATGATCCACGCCATGGCCAAGCACGCTGGCTGGAGTCTGCGCATACGGTGCAAGGGAGACCTGCACATTGACGACCACCACACGAGCGAAGACACCTTCTTGGCGCTAGGCACGGCCTTTAAGAATGCGCTGCAGGGAAGCACGGGTCTGGCACGCTTCGGACACGCATACGCACCGCTCGATGAGGCACTGTCACGCGCTGTCATCGACCTATCGAACAGGCCATACAGCATCATCGAGCTGGGTCTTAAACGGGAGAAGATTGGCGATCTGAGCTGCGAGATGATCCCGCATTGCCTCCAAAGCTTTGCGCAAGCGTCGGGCACCACCCTCCACGTTGACTGCATACGCGGTGACAACGATCATCACAGGGCAGAGAGTGCCTTCAAGGCGCTTGCGGTCGCTATCAGGCATGCGACAACCGTAGTGAAGCAGTGGGAGGGTGAGGTTAGGAGTACGAAGGGCGTCCTATACTAGTCCTGAGTTTGATAAAGACATGCAAATGAAACGTTAAATTGAACTAGCCCGCCTTGGGAGGTGCATGTTCAATGACTTTTGCTTTCTACGCAGAGCGAATATCGACTTGCCCCCGGCGTGTGGATCATTCAAACGAACCTGTTGGTGATGCTACACCAACACTCGGACGCTTGTTGGCCGCGTTCGTATTGACAGAGCGACGCGGCTTCAGTGTGTCCTGGGATACCGCGCGGGCTGTCAAGAACACTGAGCATTCAGTGCTACGGACCACGGACCATCCAACAATGTCTCACAATAACACTTGTTGGCGGGTGAGTCACTTTACAGAGGGCGAATGAAAACAAGTCTCATTGTAGGACTCAAAGGAACGCCGTTAAGGGTGGATACGTGCAAGACCACGGACCAGTCACTGACCGTTCAAGGTGTCGAAGTGCCTCATTGCTCATCTTATTATTCCTATAGACTCGTCGGCTCGCGGTTTACACTCAGCTGCCGACCTTGCGTGCAAAGTAAGTCAGTTACCCTACACATTGCGAGATGGTTTGATAATGGTATCGTTCATTGAGTATTCATAATGATTGTGGTAGTAGATGCAGAAAGTCTTATCGTACACTTGCTAAGGACCGTGTAGCACCATCGCACTCCAAGGTACTCTCTGTCATGAAAGCCCTGCAAGACCTCTGCGATGACTAGGCGCTGCTTGAGCCGCCTGGTGGCAACATAATCAATGCTTTCCCGCCTCGATTCTCCTCCACGATCCACTTGCCAGCCTGCTCCCAGCATTTCTCATGCTCATCAAGCCAGGTACGCTTTTCCTCAACCCACTCCTTTATCAATTCTTTCACTTTAGATTCCGCGTCGTCTTTAATCTTCATTTCTTCCCCAAGTGCAGTGTACCTAAGTATCCACATCATGAGCATAAGATGAACCATCTACTTCTCGCCATCCCTGTCGACAATGAGCATATTATGTGGCGTCGCCTTTCCAGATCCGGCATTGATTTTGGCCCCTTTGAGCCCTTCTTTAACCTCATCGCTGACCTCTCCTAGGGATTCCACGGCGCGCATCGCAGCCTGGTAGCCTGCTATGTCTCTATCCATGCCACTCTTATCGTTACAGATGCCCTGAATAAGTGTTTTCAGGTGATTCAGTACTTCGTTATTCGGCGCCATACTGTAGATGGAGTGTTCGAGTTGAGCTTGCATGTCATTTAGTCTTGTTTAGTGCAGTTGTTCATTTCGCTACTCACCTGTCGAAGGGATCGGATATGGACAAATTTCCTGGAACGTTTGTACGTGATAATTGAATTGGAAGATACCGTAAATGCTGAATTCACGATGCTCCTCAGTTGAGTACACCTTATTTTTTGCGCGCGGTATGGATTTCGGAAGTCGTGAGTAGCTCGTTGGCGATGAAGAATGCGGTAGGTTTGGTGAAGTAAGTCAATCGTACAGTTGACTGCGAACATTTTATAGAACGGGAAGAGTCACCACAGTCTTCAGCATCGCGCCGGCTGACTGCTTGGATGAGCAACACATACCATATATATGATTCATGATGTATTGACTGCGAAGTAACAGCAATCGGGGGCGGGAGGAAGCGAAGGAGAGTTGGCACGATCATGAGCAAGAGAAGGGGAACCTGAAGAGACTTTTGAGTCAACTCAGACATAGAGTGACACCGCAGGTTGAGCCCGGGGATATGCTACGATCTGAGCTTGGAGGCTCATAGCGATGACTAACAGCAGTCCTGTTCAGCCCCAAGTCACAGACGTGAAAATGAACTGAGCTCCATACGAGCGTCTGAACGCACTGTCTTTATTGTTATCGAGCCGTGTCAGGCTTCCTTCGCCAGTTCGACTCCGACTTCCTGCCCGCGGAGTCTTATGATATTCAGAGCTTCCTCGTCTGTAGAGAGGGCAGAAGGCTGATATGATGACAACCACGCTTCTCTGTCTTCGGGACTGCCGTACTCGTCCATTATGTAACGAATTATTGAGCCCACGGACAGTCTAAACGATATGGGTGTGACCTCCCGCACAAACATAGATTTCAGCCTCTCTCGAGAGGTGTAGAACTTGCCAAAAGAGATGTACGAGAAACCGTTCCATTCACACGTCCCCTCAAGATCGGCACCGTGCTTGATTAGAGTCATCGTTAACTTCCCTAGTCCAACATCTTTTTCAAGAGTCAATTCGGCAATAAAATGACTCAAATATGATTTCCACGGCGTCGTTCCGCCGTAACGTAAGTTCGGGTTCGCACCGCGTTCCAATAGAACTCTGGCGACAGCTTGGGCATCAGGGTTGTCGCAAGGGCCATGGAGGACTATCAAGAGGGGCGGCAGCTGTGGCGCTAGACCAAAGGCCAAAGTTGGATCCTGGCTGAGTAAGTGACTAATAGCTCGTGGCGCCCGATTTGCAACAGCCACCTCGAAGATTGTGCAGTTCCACGAAGTAGGCGGAAAAGCGTCTTGACAAGGGTGACTAGGTGCAAGCTGAATTATCTCGTGTAGCCCTGAGGCATGATGCGGAGAGCCTCCTCGCAAGAGCTTGTCCATCTTCTCTAAAACCGGACCTAATTTTGCTTCCGGACGCATTTCCACGTAATTCCAAACACGTAGCCACCGCATCTTTTCACGTTCATATGATTGGCTATTTACCCGTGACTGATCTTCGCTGTGAGCATGAAGTTCACGAAGTGTCGATAACAATGGCATAGTGAAGGTAAGTTCGGAAAGTACTGCGGAAAGGTAGATCTCAGAATCGAACGGGGCAGCCTCCTTAGTCAAACGCTCCAGCACCTTCGGTTCGCGAATGAACTCTGCAACTGTTCGGTGGGTAGGCACCACTGTACAATCGCATAGCGACACCAGTTCTTTCTCGAAAGAAGCATATTCTGGAAGTGCCGTCTCTTGACAGTATTCACGAACTTCCAATAAGCACCTAGTCCTGGCGGCGAATCTCTTACGCAGTCTTTTCGAAATGGAAAAGAGCTCTTGAATACCAGCTTCGGTCTTCATATCCGGGGGATTTTGGGCGTTTATACGCTCATCATCGTCGAGATAAACATGCCATAGAAAGACCGAGTCGAAACTGCTGCTTATCAACGATCGAGCGCTATTTCTGCGATACTCCGGCTCGATGGTGGATAATATGTACGTATACATATCACCAAGTTCACGTGGAAGACGCTGAAGCCTCCTGCGTAAATCCAGTATTCGATGTTCGTTCGTGAGCCCGTCTAGTAGCGAGTTGCATGCCAAGAAGACCCATAGAAAGACTCCTTCAGCCGCGCGAATTATCTCGGCAACCAGAGTTTCATAAGCAGTGTCCTTTTCCGCTAGTACTAAGAAGCTTACGTCTTTCTTCAGAGTGCTGTCCACAAAACTTGCAATATCTTGTCTGGTCAAATCATGGATCTGAAAGCACTGATCTGGTTGTCGTCCAAACGCAGATTCGAATTCGTTAAGCGGACGGCTGGCCACGCACATCTTCGCAGATGCGCTGGAGTTGATGATACGAAGAAGAATTATCAGGCTTCTCACATCAGGTAAACCAGCACTATCTAGACTTGGCCTATCGTCGAACTCGTCAAGACCGTCGACTAGGAAGAGAAATCGGAGATCGTGTCTAGGTGCGATGGTAACGAGGCGGTTGAGAGCACTGAGGAGGCTATGGTATGGGAACTGGAATTGAGGGCCGCCGGTTATCCATTCTGTGTCCGGAAAGACTTCAGTAACGAGTTGTGGCTGTTGTCTCAAGACCTGATAAAGCAGCGACTGCAAGAGGCCTCTAAGAGATCTTTGCATAGGAGACCCATGTCTCCAGAAGTAATAGTCGACGATGATGAGGGACTTGGAATCTGCCCAGCGCCGACATTCTGCTTTCAAGGATGGGTGATGAGCAATGAACTTCATCAGCGTGCTTTTGCCGGCTCCTGGTTTACCTGAGATCCAAAACAGGTTCTTGGTGGAATCATCCGACTGAAGCCATCGCCTGAACTTCGACTTCTGAATTGCTTCGATGTCATCGCTAGGATCATCAAAGATCCACCCAAAAGTCTTTTTGTGCGCGGGTTTGACTTCTTCCTCCCGGCTACGCAGCTGTGGAAAGTAAAGCGCATGCAAACACTGTCTCTGGATTTGTATCTCTTCTTTCTCGGTGATCCATTGATGCAATTGGCGCACTAAATCTTGTGTCGTATCTCCAGTCCTTGATGTCTCACCCAACGTCGTGCCTACTCTTGCTAGTTGCTTCTTCAATACTCCGATATCTTCATCCATCCTCTGATGATGATTCGCAATGTCTGCACCGAGATGACCCATGTCTCGGTTCAAACTTGGAATGCAAGTCAAGATAACATGGGTCGTGAGGTCCTTGGAAAGGCGATCAACATGTGCTTGCGACTCCTCTAGTTGGCGCTGTTTCCATCGTGCTTTCAGAGCCATGAACGTGGCCTGCAATGAGCCAATCTGCCCCTTTCCACGGAGCGACTCTAAAAGAGCCATGTGTCTGCTAATGGCTGCCTGGCTGCGACTTGCCAGCTGTTGCAGAACGTCGTCTGTCGATTTGTGCCGCAGATCATCAACAGTACGCTGTAGGTATGTAGCCGCGACCTGCAACTCTTCATGATCATCTATCGCACCGCTGCGAGAAGACTGGATCTCTTTTGCTGTCGTGATGATTTTTCGAGAAAGCTCGACAACCTGTATAACGTTGCATATTAGAGAGAACGCAGCAACGCCCTCCATGATGGAGCAGCTGTTATTCGCAAGTCAGGGACGATGAGAGAAGTACGAGAGATCTTTAGCAGAAGCAGTGACGTCCCGTAATTGATCCTGCAACAACAGCGCTTCCTATTCGCTGGCTGTTAACCAGTCGCTGTCCAGATTGTGGCTGCGGCACAGCATGAGGGGTTGAGCTAACTAGTGTGGTGATACAACAACCACCCTTGTAAGCTGCATGACCACGTCCTCCTCTTGAGCCTGGTGCAAAGGAAATCAATCAATACCAACTCATGTTTATCGTGCATATCCACTTCTCGCAAATCAAAGGTGAAGATACAGTCAAAAGCTACGCCATTTCCAGGGCAATATTCGACGTGCAGGCTGCTGGACGCTGTTCACGCGTGTGCTGTTGGGTTTTTGAGGGGTGGATACCACCATAACGGGCTTGACACCATTTCCCCGCAGCCGGGACGACAGAGATAGATCGTATGAGCTCAGAAGACTTTGACTGGTCCGTTCAATTATACTAGAAGACAGAAAAAAGAACAGAATTCGAACAACCAGCCTGAGCTTCCGGTCACGGATGGAACGGTACTCGAAAAGATGATGTTGTACTTTCATTGTGCTCAAGGATATCTTTAGTGGCTCAATGACGCCTGCAATGCAATAATACCTGTGTGAATCCAGGCTAATGTACAGAATAATAATGCTCAAAACCTGTAATAAATGTGTGAGATGGGTGTGATCGAATTCTGGAGCGGGAGACACATACCTTATTTCATAATTACCCGCTCTCGTCATGTAGCGCACCCACTTTACACTGCTGTAGTTGCTCTTCTCAAACACCTTCAGGTATCGCACAAGTAGCCCCGAACTGGTGAACATCAATAATGAGAAGCTCAGATTGAGCGGTGGTCGGGACCACGCCTTCTGGTTGGTCATGCTGGTTAGGCTGGCCTCGGCACTCAGCACAAACTCGCTTTGCCCTGTGAATCTCGGTATCTTCCAGACAATGTTGTTGTGCTCCGGCTCGTACTTGGCTTTGCCTTGTGATGTCCGCTCTGTGATGCGCGCCGTGTTGAGAGGTGTTGGTATCCGCACGACAACGTTTGTCGCGAAAAGCTTGGAGCCGTAGTTGGCGCGAATAGCAATGCTGTATTCGACCTTGGTCTTGCCGACCTCGTTGACAATAGCGTGCACCTTGAAAGGCAGATTGACATTCTCAGTCGCTCGGTAGCGCATCAGCTCGAACTCGCCGTCGGGCGGAACAAAGGATATTATCCTGTCCGCATCGAACTTGCCCAGCTTCACGCATTGGTGGAATTGACAGTCTTCCAACGTCACACTTCCCGCTGCCGCCCTTGTAGCCTTCGCGCCTGCCTTGTTTCCAGACGGTTGTTGCAGATGGTCTTCGCCCAGCGTTAGTCGGTCGTTGAGGCCGAACTTGCACTCGGGTGTGCCCGAGAGGTATGCGCGCATTATGATCTGTCCGTTCACGTCGGCTCGCAGTACTGTTCCCGTCGCGGACATGAGCAGGTTGACGTCCTCGATAACATCGACGAAGGCTTCGTTCTTGCGGTACTTGATATCGGCCCGCCGCCAGGAAAGGGCACCGGTTGCTTGCATTGTGATCTTCGAGGAGTCCTCCTGTGATTTTGTCAGCTGTTGTTGCTCTAGTCGCGCTCGATGTGACCTACCATTGCCCTTTCCGACTTGACACCTTCAGTTGTAATGTACATCTTCAACGTGTCTGTCTCTGTATTCTGTGGGTATCCAAAATCCAGAATCTCGTCCAGTAGCTCATAGACCAGTACGAAGTTGTTCTTTACAGCCTCCTCGTCGAACTTGCCGAAGTAAGCCTTTCCCAATCCCACCAAACGGTACAGAAACTCAAAGACGAGCGCCGCATTGGCATTGCTCTTGGTCACGGCGACCAGGTATATGTTCTCGTGTTTGACATGGCTAAAGGTGGTGGAGCCAAGTGTGAGGATGGGCGAGCGTACTTGGGCGTTGGAGATGACCTGAATGCGGAAGACATCGGCAAGTCGCGGGCGGCAGTCGTTGCGGAAGGCGCGAAAGATGAGGTTCTCACCCTTTTGGTTGAAGATGAGAATTCCAGAGAGCATGGCAGCGACGTGGAAGGGGACAGCGGTTGTCGGCAGGGAATTGGCTGGCTTCGGCGTGTTGATGCTCGGAGCTCCACCCACCACGCCGCCGCGGGATTGAGCTCGGACCATTTTTCTTGTAGCGATTAGGGGTCTCAGGGACGGCTTGCATCCCGAGGTCCTCGTCGTAATCAGGGCACGCCATCCAAGTATATCAACCAAAGGTAGCAACACAAGAGCTTCAGCAGTCTCATCTGGAGTGTTACGATCAATTCTATCTGTATTCAACGGCTAGTGAAATATCTCAAACACACGCGCGCAGAGACAGGCGCTCCTTAGATATGGAGAGCAGCATTCGTTCACATCGATACAGATTGAGTACGACATAGACTGTGCATTCTTTGGGGGACCGAGTCCATCAAAGGCTGCTGTGGGAAAGACCTTGTAGCTTCCTCAGACTGAATCCTACACCATCCGCTCAACCATCAGTAGTACCAGACCACGGCTTGAGCGTCGGAAGTTTCTGCGGATCCAGCTTTGCCATCAAAGCAGTGTACTCCTCCGCAGTAAGTCTTCTCTTTATCTCCTCCATCCTTATACCAATTTTATGACGCTGGTGATATAGAGTCGCGTATTCTTCCCCCAACGTGGTAAACTGATTAGACGCAGGTGTACTAGGGAACTCGTCTCGAGGCTCTGGCGTCTCTTCTGTCGATATACCTGACATTGGACTACGGCGTCGTCATTATGCCTTCCGAGCAAATGTTCTCAAAATGTTACTTACCGCATACTTGACTCTTGAGGTAATTCGACGGTAGTCGGCACCAGACCTCGCGACTTCGACATGCTCTCCGGTCGATTCGGCTTTCGTGACCTGAGATCATCTTCGAATTGATCTGCTGAACTTGGCTGCGGGTGGAAGAAAGCTCTAGAATCTTGCGTATATGGCTGCGTTGTAGGGAAAGGCGTCGCACCGTAGTCACCGGGCTGAGGAGCTTGGCCATACCCAGCATACGCTGGTCCCAATGTGATTTGAGGACTACCGAAAGGCGAGTCTGAATGGGGAAGTGGACGGCGGTCATCCGGTAGTGTAGGATATTGAGGTTCCGTACGCCGTGGATCTTGGACAAAGTTAGGACGGTCTCGACTGTTTCGTAGAGATCCCCTCTCGTTTTTGCTGCGCCCAGTCATATCTTCGTTCGTTTCTTCAACGTTGGGGTTATATATTCTGTGGATGAGTGGCTGCGAACTTTCGCTTTCAGGGGTAGAGGGCGCCGCAGTGGTAGAGCTCGCACGGGTCTGCTCTTGGAGGGCTTTCATTGCCTTGGCTTGCGTTTATAAACGAAAGAAATTATTACAGGCGCCACGTTATACTTCCTCCATTTCTAAATGACTATGTGTTCGTCGTTGAAATCGCTCGCTCGCTTGCATTAGCTCACGTGCGGTGAAGCCTACAGCATCACAATATGCGAACAACTGAGGATTTGGTCGACTCGATTTCTAATATTTGCGCGTATGGACTGGAAGAATTACAGCCCCCGAGGCGTGCGCTTTACGTGACACCGAGCGTCTCCAATAACCCAGAGATCTCCTCTACAACTTCCTCAACGCACTGTCCAGCATCTACCGGTATCACATCCGTCTCCGATACATCAGCCGGCTCCCAGATGGCCATTTGGCTCTCCACCATATTCTCTTTCATGTAATGGCCACCTCTTGCCTTCATTCGACGCACAAGTTCTTCCGGCTCGACTTGCAAGTCCACAAACACTACCCGTATCTGTTCATCCTCCAAAACCCGGAACTCATCCCGGTATGACTTCTTCAGAGCCGAACAGGAGACGAATACGCGCTCGTGGTCTTCCTTGGTCACTGTATCGAGCGCTCGCTCTCTGACGCGCGCTAGCCAAGGAGCGCGAGCAACGTCATTGAGGGGAGTACCGGCAGCCATCGATACAATGGCTTCTTCAGTGTGTAGTTCATCGCCCTCGATATAAGGTGCTTCGAAGTGAGCGCCGAGGTGTCGTGCGACAGTGCTTTTCCCACTACCACAAGGCCCGGCAACTACAACGACACTGCGTCTCATCGGCTTCGCGACTGGGGTGGTATGTATCCGCCAGGCAGCATTGTGGAATTGTCTGACAAACGTCCTCACAAATGCTGCATCCAGTACAGGCGCTGTGTTAAGAGAAGGCGAGAAAGATCGGGCGACGGTTGTATCGTATGTACGCGAAGGACCGAAAACATCTTTGTCGTACTTGGATGCGAAGAAGTCGGCAAGCTTAATGGGTGGGTTCGCTACAGCATCCTGGTTGGACTCGCGAAGCCTGCGCACCCATTCATTGGGCTCTACTTCATCAAACTGGAGGCCGGCTTCTCGAAGGGCGGGAATTAGATCGTCGGTCCAAGAGAAAGTCTTTGCGTTGGTGACATTCGCCACTACTGATCCAGCTTCACTGAGCGAGATCTCCGTTACAGCTTTCGCAATAACATCAACTGGTGTCCAGCTTGGGGATTCGCGCAGCCGAGGTAGCGCACCGACAGTAAGAGCAGTCTGCATCATGAGAGGTATTGCTTCGGTTGCGTTCCACACGCCATGAACAGTGTCAGCGACGATCTGACCGACACGCAGGACTCGCGCTTTAATACCGGTCTCCTTCGCTGCAGCCAAGCACAAGTGTTCTGCAACACATTTGCTCTGGGCGTATCCCATGCCCTGAGCCCAGTCAAGCTCGGCTAATTGCTCAGGCGTGTGCATATCGGGGCATCGTGCGACGGTACTGACCGAAGAACAGAAGTCGAAGGATGCGGGCTTGGTTGATGATGAAGCCAGGCAGAGGTCGATCAGGTGACGCACGCCAGCAATACAGTCCTTCTCGAATGATATCAAGTTCTTGTTGAAGTTGACGCTCCATGCGCAGTGAATGACACTGGTAAGACCCGAGGCAACACGCGCATATGTCGTATCGTCTAAGCCGAGATGCGGCTCGGACAAGTCAGAAGGTATGGCTTGTATTTTCCTGCGTCCGGAGAGCGAAAGGGTGTGGTACAGCTTTCGCTGTATGAGAGACTCTCGGACCCGGCGAGCTGCAGTCTTGTAGTCTTTGGCTCGTACAAGACAGTAAACTGTGTCAATATCCGAGCGGTGGAGCAGTTGTACAAGAACATGAGCACCAAGCGAACCGGTCGCGCCAGTAAGTGCAGCCTGACGTCCTCCAATCGGTTTGAAGTTGCCGTATTGCGCGATAAGGCCTTGCATTTGCGCAGCAGCCGATACAGCTTCTTCCTCTTGCCCGGTGCGAAGACTGTGGAGATGTGCGGCGAGAGATGCAATAGAAGGGTGGTCAAACACCACATTCTGGCCGAGCTTCTTGTCGCCGATATTCACGTTCTTGAGGATCTCCGTCCGGATCTGGATCGACTGCAACGAGTCCAGGCCTAGTGAGAAGAAATCTGCGGTACGTTCGATTTCGCCCGCCTGCGTCAAGTGTTTGGCCAGGACAGTACGTAAGAAATCCTCAAGTTCCGGAACAGTCAATGTTTTGAGATCTCCTTGAGCTGATGCAATGGCGTCGTATGCATTGTTGATTTCATTGGCATATTGCTTGTAAAACTGTTGTCTTATCACACTGCCCTTGTCGGTACGCGGAAATTGACAGCCATACGGTAGGATCTGGACCATGTCTCTGGAAATCCTGGCGTACGCTTCGGCCGTCTGATTCGCAGCCTCAATAACAGGCCAGATCTCATCCACGACTTCCGATTTTGGCATGCCCTCGATTGCTGGGACCACAAGAACGCCAAGGTATGGTCGACCTGAACCAAAGACAACCGTCTCGGTTACAGCTCGATGGGACCGGACCGTTCCTTCCATCATGACTGGATTGAACTTTTCGCCATTCACTAATACGATTGTATCATCAAGACGCGCAATGTATTTCCAGGCCTTCTCGATCGTAGGATGCGGTTCGAACAGGTCTTTCGTGGCGTAACTGCCATCTGGTAGGTTCGAGGCGACCTTCGCTGGCCAGCCCGGCAGGACCGTGCATTCGTAGAGATTGGGTCCGCGTGATACCCATCGAAGGTACGGCGATAGTTTCGGTGACTCGCGAACGTAATTCCACACCTTGTCGTCGGCAGGTCGGAAGGATGTCATGAGTTGGCCGACTTCAGTACTGCTTATCGTAAGCTTGGCTTTGCTGTAAGTGACCACATAAAACTTACGCCCCATAGTGACCGACAAGATTGACGCCACTCTTCACCAATAAGTCGCCCAGCGCGTCTGGGCAGGCACTCCCTCCGTACATGACGATCTTGAGTTGCTTCAATAGCTCGATCCCCTCCCTGGTCTCAGAGAGAAGCTTGAGCGCATATGGCACGCCATAGAAAATCTCAAATCTATGTTGCCTCAATATCGTAGCCAAATAAGATTGGGTCAGGGGCAGGTCGGCGTTGTAGATATGGATGGATTTGCCGCTGTATATCGCGCGGAAGAAGTTGCAAATGCCGTGATTGTGATACAATGGAAGGGTAATGAATGCTTTCATGTCCATAGTAATGGCATAATTGGCGATTGCACTTCTCTGTGGCTGGTATATTGGCTTTGGCAGTCCGGTAGAGCCTTTCCTCACATTAGCTCAAACACCAACAGACTGTTAGATAGAACATACCACTGGAGTGTATAATGTAGATGTTGTTCGAGGCTTCGACTGTATGGTCGAGCTGGTAGTCGAGGCGGGTGTCTGCATGGACTTCAACAGGAAAGTTGTAAGTGTTAGGCCTGGCAATTTCGCCGATGTGCAACCCTGGTATGGCTCTCTGAGCATCGATTGCAGATTGCGCATATCGTGAATCCGCCAGCAGATAGGTGGCTCCTGTTGTGGTGATAAGAGAATCGATAGCTGCTTGAGATATACGCGTTGAAAGAAAAAGTACCGTATGGCCGAGTTTGGTAAGCGCAAGCATCGAGACAATGTAGTCCATATTGCTTGGTCCAAGAACGGCTACTGTGGTTGGCATCTCTGCAGAACTCGATCTCGTAGGGATGAAGGTCTGATAGTGTCGAGCTACTCTGTAGGCAAAGACGTCCAGCTGCTGCATGGTATAATCCACGAAGTCAACCCCAGAACTCG